CAAAATGTAAGTATGTTGAACTGCATTGGAATTTGCATTGAAGGGTGTCAGAAAGAGAGATGATCCTTTAGCATAGTCTTCTAAATACTGGAAAAATATTTGTGGAATTTTTATTTCATGGTTAACTAGAGTTCGCTGTTATAGAGTCACTCCTTTTAGACTGCAAAGTCTATAAAAGTGTGGGAAGGGGTTTCCTAGAGAATTACGTAAATAAGCTTCCACTCTTAGGCATCTGGAAGCATCTGCAGTGACTCGAGCTCAGCCCTTTGGATGTACTTGCTGTTAGAAACTTTAATTCAGTTGGGTTTCTGTGATGTTAGTAATATAGTCTGTTTACACTGTCTTGCTGACACAACAGTTGCCCTACTGTAGTGCTATGATGGTGATAATTTTTTCCTAATTTGACCTGTTTTTCTGTCTTTTCCACACAGGTTTACGTATGTAAAGTGTGTCAGAATGCATTTTGTGTGGAATGCGATTTGTTTGTTCATGATTCTCTGCACTGCTGTCCTGGCTGTATTCACGAGCATCCTGCTCCCATATCTGTATGATGTCATCTCTTTTTGGAAATTGTCATATCTATGTCATTCTTTCATAAATCTATTTTGCTTATTCAGCCACAGCTTTCACTCAAAACAAGAGGACCTACATAATTACAGAAGGATGAACACTGGCTTGGGAGCAAACTTTAATTTTTATCTAATGTATTAATGACTTCATTACTGTTAATATATTCTTGAATTATCTGTATCTTTTATTTTATTTGCTTTTATCTGTAAAGCTCTGGCTTTTTCTGAATTTTATTGTAACATGTACATTTGTAAATGTGAAAGTGATAAAACTGGTTTGTATGATAATGTGGCGATTCATCTTTGTTTCATTAGTTGTTCAAAAAAGAAGTCCTGAAAATATATTTTATATATCGATTGTTATAAGCTCTTGTTTTTGGTGGATGGTGGGGTTCTACAGATCAAAATATTCTTTGTAAGAATTCAACAAAGGTGGTTTTGAGCAATTAGTTGGGGGACATTTCAAATAATTTCAAGTATTGTGGCTGTTCGCCTTGGCCTTCAGTAAGGCAACTCAAATACAGCTGTTTATAAATGTGCTGAAAACCTGTTTCGCATTTTAATGGTACAGCTCAAAACTAACTGAATTTTATTACTGCTGTGTCTGTAGTTGTGTGGTTTAAGTTTCACTTTCTTGCAGGAGTCTAAGGTTACTGAAAGGCAATGAATTTGCAAAGGTGTAAGACCTGAGTTTTTACAAACTATTGTTTGATGGTCACGGTATTGAAGACAGTGATGCTATTTTGATTCTGAGGCTAGAATGACTTGCCAGAACTGCAAGGCATCTTCTCTCCTTGGCTGAACACCCAGAGCAACAGACAGTATCATGGGGTGAGAAAGGGAAGCTCCAGGGAAGGGCAATGAAGCTGGTGAAGGGTCTGGAGCACAGGCCTTATGAGGAGCGGCTGAGGGAACTGGGGTTGTTTAGTCTGGAGAAGAGGAGGCTGAGGGGAGACCTTACCTGAAAGGAGGGTGTAGTGAGGTGGATGTCAGTCTCTTCTCCCAAGTAACAAGTGATAAGACCAGAGAAAATGGGCTCAAGCTGTGCCAGGGGAGGTTTAGGTTGGATATTAGGAAAAATTTCTTCACGGAAAGGGTAGTCAAGCATTGGAACAGGCTGCCCAGAGAGGTGGTGGAGTCACTGTCCCTGGAGGTGTTCAGAAAACGTGTAGACGTGGCACTTGGGGACATGGTTTAGTGGGCATGGTGGTGTTGGGTTGATGGTTGGACTGATGATCTTAGAGGTCCTTTCCAATCTTAATGATGCCTAGTTTTTACTTCCATTATAAATAATCCAGCCACCAAGCCAGGAAACATGAAATTAATTATTACTCTACCCTTAATTGGTTTAGCGATTGACTTGGTAGTGTTAGGTTAATGGTTGGACTGGATGATCTTAAAGGTCTTTTCCAACCTAAACGATTCTATGATCTATGTTTTTACAGTGTCTGTTCAAAGTGCGATTGCAGTTTGAACTTGTGAGAATATAACATGCTACACCTCAGTAAGAGGAGGTTGTGATGGTGCACTGCCTAAGGCTGTATGTCACATCTGGTTTTCTGAAGTCACCTTATGACAGAGTAACTCAGTCACTGATGTATCCAACTTAGTTTTTAAAATTGTGAGCTTTGTTGTCAGGTTAGGAACAGCAATAATCTAACCTAACCACTGAATCTTAAAAGTGCAAACAAAAAAAAAAAAGCAAACCCCCATCTTAAGTTAGCTCCCTGTTTTTCATGCTCACCACATACAGATAATACATGCTACTTCTCAGTTTTCACAGGCAGTTTTCGTTTCAAGTCCTTTAAATATGCAAATTCTCAATTGTTAACATAGCTCCTTCTGTGCTTTTTCTACTATTTATGCCTGCAGCCTGGCTGGAATGCAGTAATTCTACTGTGGTGGCAGAAAAATGACTGTTTTGGCATCTGTGTTTTATTTTGTGCTGAGTCAATCCCTATAAATCCTTTGTGCAATCAGGTGATTGCAGTGCCTGTTACTGTAAGGGTGTCCTAAAAGCTAGCAGAAAAATTACATATTCATGGGTTTTGGTGTAGTCTAGTAGGCCATTCCAAGCCAAAGGAATGCCCTAAGCATCTGGCTCTTGGGAATTCTGATACTGGTGACAGCATCTTTATACAATGTTTCCTGATAATACTTTCACCTTCACCATCAGCATTTACTAATGCAAAAAAAGGTTTTGTCAAAACACTTTAAATCTGTTATAGCTTTGTCTCTTGCTAGATACCAAAATAACATACTCGGAAGTAGAAGTTGTGCCCATATACTCCATTATGTGCTTGTGGTCTGAGAAATAATCTGGCTCGTACTTTTCCACCCTTCTCATTGGATAGAAAGAACAGTTCAAACTAAGTCCTGAAAAATCGCTGTTGGGGCAACATTTCTCTGCTGTAATTTGAGCTGTGGCCTTTATATTTAAAGCAGCATGGAGGAAATGCTTCCTTCATCTGTACTCTGATTGGGATTCACTGGATCTCAAGTCTCCTTTGCTTGTGGGAAGATACAACCTGTTTCATTCTTGTTCTTGTATTTTCTCACTTACCGGATCTGCCACAAGATTAGGCAATCAGTGAGGTTATTAGCAGGCCTGTGAGAAATTCTTATGCTTCCTGAAGATGTTGCATAATACGCTTCGGACTGAAAGTGTTGAGGGAAGAGACAAAAAGACAAAAACATGCTGTGGTGGGGCTGAGGATGCAACTGTGGCAAGAAGGTTGAGGCTGGAAGGCACAGCGAGAGTAGAGAGCACACTACCCTGTGGAGTGAAGGCAATTTTGGAAAGGTGAGTGCCCTTGCTGTACTCTCCCTTTTATGTACTTTCTTTGCAGGAATAAAAGTTACCATCTATTCACGGTTGTAACTAATTTACAAGACTGGAATTGCTGAAAATAGAAAGCATGAGTAAAAGAAATGTCTGGTTTTAGTTTTGCATAACAACTGCAACTCCTGAAGAATTTGCATGGCATCCTGATCTGTCTCATGCAATATGAGGAACAGTTTTAATTCTAGATTGTGATGTAGTTTATGGATGAAAAATGCCATGAAGTACTAACTGAAGCATTACTGGATTGTGCAGACTCCTGGCTGAAGGAATGAGAGTAAATTAATTTTATTTTAAAAGTCATCAAATTTGAATACGAATCATGTTTCCACACTTAGGAAAAATAAATGTGGTGCCTATAGTGCAATTCACGAAAGTAATTTTTCAAAATATAATAGAACTTGAAAAAGAATAGAACTTGAAGAAGAAAAAGTCTTGCAACTTTTTCAGCACCTTTTGCCTTGGGATTTCAAAGCACTTAAATTATTTAGCACAAATTTTCCTATGAGAGGAGAATGTGATTTTTATAACCAGTGAAGAAGAGTAAAAACAACAGGTTGGAGATTCTGGATTTAGAATCATTTTCTTAAGGATTAATTTGTTTTGATATGTTTTGTAAATCTCTTAAGATCCCTCAATTATTTGAGAATACAAAGCAAAGCTCTTTGGAGGTGGGGGGAGCAGAATTTGACTATATAGAGCTGAACTGTAGACATGTTTGCTGCGTTCTGAACCATCACATAGCAAAATGTTTCCTACGGTTGTCTTACCATAGTACTAATAACAACAAAAAGTTATTACTTCTACAAGATAAGCTATATTTGAGAAGACTAGTGTAAATACCAAACATTTAATAAAACCACTCCATTGGAGGAAAGTATTGACATTATGAGTTTGGCAATAAATTTCATTGCCAAATTAATTTAATTTTGTGATGATGAAATCACAGTTCCTGTTTGTGAAGGATTATGCAATTCCTGCTAGTCACTACTTATATTGAAAACAGCTAAAATTTAAAAATACTGCAATAAAACAATTGCTTTCTCTGATTTTTTTCCCCTATTTTTCATTTCTGCTTCCACCTTCCATTTGGCATTGTATGTTTTGCCACCTGTTTTTTTTCCTAATTTAAGGAGAAATTTAAAATGTGCTAGCGACATTCAGTCATGCCTTTGAGATGGAAGAATTGAGATGATAGAGGCATATTGGTTTACTGAGGCCATTCTAGGTTTTTAAGCTGCAGGATGAAGCTCTTAGGATCTGCCAATCACCTGTGTCATCTTGCTCAAATGTCACCTGTTTATGTCTCTTCTTTCCCTCCATTTTGGTTGTAAAGGCTTCAGGATAATTGTTACTGTCATTATAAGGGCAGTGGTCAGAGTTTGCAGAAGTCTCAATTTGGCTAGTCAGATTTAATAATACACTTGTTTATATCAACTCTGCAGTTACCTTATCTCTTCTTAGTAAGGTGAAATCAAATGTTTATAACCTGTAGAAAATACGTTACTAAGGTAACAGAGGAGATGACTGAATGTTTTCTAAAAGATGCAGGTAATATAATTTGGTAGTCTTCCTGTTTTTTTCAGAAAATGTCTGCCAAAGAGGAGCTTACAGTGGAGACGAATGACAATGAAATACGTGAGCTGAATCCTTCTGCATTGCAAGCGTATTTCCTGGATACACCCTTTGATATTCACAAGTTTGTTGAAGAGAGAGAGGCAGAATTCCAAGAAGTCCGCAAACAGATGCAGAAGAGTTACAACCCTGCCATGAGAAATGAACACAATAGATTAAAGTCTTTCTTGTCCTATAAGTCTTACTCATCATGGGCTTTCACAGAAATGGCAGCTGCTGGATTTTATCACACGCTTGTTAAATCCAGTGTGCAGTGTTTTTGCTGTGGGTTAGTTTTATTTACCATGAAGGTTAGATACACCCCATACGAACAGCACAAGAAATTTAGTCCCACTTGTGAATTTGTCCTGGGCAAAGAGGTGGGTAATATTTCAAAGTATGACGTACGTGTTCAGAAGTTGGAAAAGAACGCAGCAGGCCATGCCTGCAGGTACAGCGCAGAGGACACGAGGCTGCAGTCCTTCGACGGATGGCCATTCTATGCCAGAGGAACAAAGCCTGATTCCCTTGCCAGAGCTGGGTTTTTCTTTACAGGTAATCGGAAGCGATGCCTGGAGGGATTTCTGTTTTGATTATAAAACAGTACAAGTCTTCTTACAATACTAGAACGGGTATAACGTTTTTTTTTTATCGTGCCACTCATCATTTTGTGATGTATTGTGTCCCCCATAAATGTTTTCTTTCCCAGGCTGAAGAACATAGGCAAATCAACCATTCCTCATGCAGAAAGTGTTCCACATTTTTTTATCATCCTTGCTGCTGTTCCCTGCACCTTTTCCAGTTCTAATACAGTATTTTTTGAGTTGAGGGGACCTCAATCACATGCGCTGTTTAAGATGTGGATTAATCACGGGTTTGTACAGTGGGATAATTATACTTTTTTCTGCTTAGTTGTCTGTAACAGATGCCACGCTTACAGACCTGATGTCTCTTCCTCTCCCCCAAAAGTGCAGACTGCTTTTTAAATATTGGCATTATGATTTCCGCACTCAGCCATAAAATACTGCATAATTGCTTTGATTTTGGATCCACCTTCTGCTGCATGGCCCACCCTGGTTTAGACAATGGGTATCTGCCTGATTTCTTCTGCAGTGAACATTAATGCAAATGTTGCAGAGAATGTCACTTCAAGTCCTCTGCAATTGCATTGTCCCTTTTGAATGGTTCTTTTACAGCCTGGTTAGCAGTTGGCTAACCACCTCTCTTCACTGGCTTTTTGTTCTTGCAATCTGGAAGAAGGTTTAGATTCCTTTAGCTTGTTACTCTTGAACTTCCCTCTCTGCCCCCCTCCCCCCCAGCCTGTCTGATTTTATTTTCACACTTCATCCTTCAGAGCTTTTGAGCCTTCTGTTTTCTGTGCTCAAAAGCTTCAGCTTTTTGAATGATCCCTTCTTAATTCTTGTAATCTGATTTATTTTCCTATCAGTCACTCCTTTCCCGTAACTTTTCATAAGTCTTTTCTAATAAATAAATAAATTTAAAAAATGCTGGTGTTGCACTTCCAGCAAATCATCTTTCAGGAAACTCTCAAATGCCTGTAAGAGAGTTGTTGGGGGGTTTTGTTTTGGGTTTTGGTTTGGGGTTTTTTTTGTTGGTGGTTTTTTAGTCAGCTATTTCTGCTTCCTTACTTTTACATGGTTCCTGGTTTTGAAGTTTAACACAGCCTTGGTAGGTTCCCTGTTTCTGTGGAGGATGTTGCATATAAGTAAATTGCAATCATGGTTACACAGTGACACGTCCACTATGAGACTTCGAGCTCCTCCCGGTGCATTTCTCAATACCAAGTCACATCATCTTTTAGGCTTGCTAACCAGCTGCCCCATGAGATTATGCCTGATAGCCTCTAAAAAAAAGTCATCTCTAATTTGCATCTCAAGGCAGTATTTGTGCAGTCTGCTTGGGGTATAACTGGAGTCACTGGGTACAATTCTATTTCTTGCCCACAGTGCCTCTCTCATTTCTTTGAGCATTACATACTCAGTTTTGTCATCCTGGTTGGTTGGCTGGTAATATGGACCAAGAACTGTACTATTCCAATAGAGGCCTGAGATTCCAGACTGTAGAAAATCTTTGCTCTTTGTTGGTTAGTTCGATTTTGTTCTAAGATATCATTAAGATCTGATATTCCTTTTCTTTCTAGCACTGTTTACTCAATTATCCTTGAATATTTTATATACTGGCATTTCACCATTTGACTGACCTGTCTTTCTTCCATCACGTTTATGCTGACTTATCAATATGTTAACTTCGGGACGTAAATTCTAGTTCTCCCACCCTATTCCCTTGGTTTCTAGAATTATTAATTTACTTAGCTTTTACAAATAAACTGACTAGCTAGAATGCAAAATTTTAAAAAGTAGCCAACAAAAAAGACAACTCGATTGTATCAAGCTTGTACAATTTCTCAGATATTTCTGAAGTTTTGTTTTGATGGAAAGATCTACCTTATATTTTCACCTTTGGATCTGCACTAAGTTTAGACCCAGACTGACCCAACTGAAATTAAATGGAAATCTAAGCAGTTTTGTCAACCTTTTTAGTTTCATTTGCTATAATCTAAGAAAAAGGCTTCCGTTAGCTACAAATTTTGGACCAATGATATATACCAGTTTACTTGTGGTCACGTGGCTAGAGTGTGAACAAGTAAAACACACAAATGTGTAATTATCTCTGAGATCTGTAACTCTCTACATGCAGGCAAGAAAGATACAGTGCAGTGTTTTGCTTGTGGTGGATGTCTGGGAAATTGGGAAGATGGTGATGATCCTTGGAGAGAACATGCTAAATGGTTTCCTGAGTAAGTTGACTGACTGTTCTAGAAATATTTCTATATGTACAAAAAGGTTGATTTGTGTAGATATCTCTTTTTTTCCTCAGCAATGATGCTGGAAAGTAACACCACCCCCTCCCCCCCAACTTTTGTCTTCAGGGTTGTTATATTCAGACAATTGATTTCAGCAGATCTTTATTTCTGAGAACTGAACAGTATAAGTCTGCTATCCCTAACCTTATAATTATTCTATATATATTGTTTTCTGTACTTTCTAGAGATCTCCCATGGGCTTTTCATTGAGCAAAAGCCAGCTGATTGTTCTCTCAGATAGTCACTATGTCATGTGAACAATGCTGATGGCACCAAAAAGTTTGCCTTTGTTTCGTTGTCTTTCTGTTGTGAAAAATCCTGAGTATGCACCTCTTAATGACTGAAACACTGCTTCCAGAATTTTAACTGGAATTAATGCTTAAGAATAATGTTTTGGTTTTTTTTTTATAGGTGTGAATTCCTTAAAAGTAAGAAATCAAGCAAGGAAATTAAAAATTACATTGAAACCTACAGTGGATTTGTTGGAGTGGTGGTAATCTTGTAATCTATTTCGATCTTCCTTTGTTGTGGAATACACCCCAAGGAGGCACTATCTGGGACTTGAAGATAGGCAAATTAGGCCTTGATCCTGATTTCCACCTTCTTCCTCCTAAAAGAAAGCCCAACAACCCAAAAGCTAGATATAATTGCATATGAAATTAACACTATGCACTCTAGGTGGAATTTGTTTCATCTAAGTTTATTTTGATGTGTGCATCCAAGCTCCTTGCCTAGGCAGTACCTAGGAAGTCCATTGATTAAAAGCAACATACCTCTAATTGGCATTTATCCTACTCAAAGACAGACAGTTTAATTAACTCCTCATGGCACCTATACATATATATTGATTATTAGGAAGATTGTAGGTGAGTATGCTAAACTAAGCACTTCTGCATGGCTGAAGTCAGGTTAGGTGAACTCTACCCTGCTAGCTCTTCTTGTAAGACTTCATCTTTCTTTGGGGGGCTTGCTTTCATCAGAAAAAATATAATATGTGTAAGATCTTTCATGATTAAAACGCCTATGCCACAAAAATCTCAAAAAAATTTGGAAGCTAAACCCATTAGCTGATGTAAGATGAGAGGACTGCAAGTATCACTTGGAAAACACCATCTTGGATACCTTAAAAACAGCAGTGCTATTTTTCTTTCTTTATTGCTGCTACTGTTTGAGGAGACACATTTCTTCTCACTGATAGTAACCTGTCATTAATCAGTTCTTCTTCAGAAAATTCTCTCAAACTGAAAACATTTTAAATGTTGATACTTCGTACTAACCCTGTTTATATATTATAGTTATTTCTTTTATTTAGCTGAAAAGTTAAATGAAAATAGAATGCATAATAGAAATAAGTATTAATTTTTAATTTTCCACTTAGGGGAGGCATTTCACAGCTTCCTTTATCAAGGAGAATTTATCTACTTCAACAGGTAAAAAATAAGATATATTGACTGTTTCATTAGAAAATAATGCCTTCATATTTTTATTGTACATCATCATTAACAACGAAAGCTGCTCCAGACTGTTGCTTTTTTGTTGCCTTTTTTTTTTTTTTAAGGAAGATTACATGTGTGAAAAAGTATTGGTCCTGTATTTCTCAAATTTTTGCCGCAAATAAAAATTCGTTCACTATAGAAGCTAAATATAGAACATGCTGCTTAAGTAGATCAATCTCACTTGCATTTGCCTGTGTAAGAGAGAGGTGAAAAATAAATGAAACCTGAAGGCTTTGAAAGGAAAAACAGAGATTTTCATCTATACAAATCAAGAATATACACTTACAATTGTCTGAAAGATCTGATTCTGTAGTTATGCTTTTGCTTTGCTGTAAGCCTGAGATATTTGCAATCTAGTTCTGTTCCTGCTTCAGAGAATCTGATAGCAGGCTAAAGCTTTCCTAACTAATCAAATATCTTTGGTTGCAAAGGTGATCTCGTCTTGAACATCTTTGAGGATGAAGGAGTTCGACTGGACTCTTTTAAAACTTGGCCAGCAGAAGCCCGTGTTGAAGCCACCGCCCTTGCTAAAGCTGGGTTTTTCTATAGAGGTTTGAACCAAGTTTATTAGCTATATAAACACAAGACAAGTAAAAAGATACACTTTCCAATGCAGGTAGGAGAGGGGTTCAAGATAGTCCTGGTATGTAATTGAAATCTTGCTTTAGCTTTCTGTCCTGGTTTCGGCTGGGATAGAGTTAATTTTCTTCCTAGTAGCAGGCACAGTGCTGTGTTTTGGATTTAGTAGGAGAAGAATGTTGATAACACGCTGATGGTTTAGTTGTTGCTGAGTACTGCTTATGCTAGTCAAGGACTTTTCAGCTTCCCGTGCTCTGCCAGGTGCACAAGAAACTGGGAGGGGGCACAGCCAGGACAGTTGATCCAAACTGCCCAAAGGGCTATTCCATACCATATGGCATCATGCTTGGTATAGAAACTGGGGGGGGTTGGCTGGGGAGCAGCGATCGCTGCTCGGGAACTGTCTGGGTATCGGTCGGCGGGTGGTGAGCAATTGCATTGTGCATCACTTGCTTTGTATATTACTATTATTATTGTTATTATTGTTGTTGTTGTTATTATAATCATCACTACTTTACTTTATTTCAATTATTAAACTGTTCTTATCTCACCCCAGGAGTGTTTCTCACTCTTACTCCTCCGATTCTCTCCCACATCCCATCGGGGTAGGGGGAGTGAGCGAGCAGCTGCGTGGTGCTGAGTTGCTGGCTGGGCTAAACCACGACACTCTCATTAAGGAGAGAAATGCAGCTGCAAAATCAGAATGCCTTTTACAAAAGCTGGAGCAAGGGAATCGAAATGGAGTGACCCTGTCTGAGGTGAAAGCCAGAGCAAAGAGTTGCGAGGAAGATATGTTTTTAGAAAGGAGAAAACATTTATCTGGGCACTCGTGTATTCATTTGTCTGGTGTCACTAAAAGAGCAATAATGGCACATCTCTCAATTCTGTGGCATTTTCTTGTCCTTGATTTAATCTTTATTATTTGTGATTTATAAAAGCGTGTAATTCCAGTAACAGATAGAGATCACCAAAGTAACCTCATGAAACCACTGATTTGTTGCCATTTTTATGCTGCTGGCATGTTAGTAAGGAAAAAAATCATGTACGTGACCATTTTTAAGGTGCATAATTTCTTGCTTGCAGGAGAAGGTGATAGCGTACAGTGCTTCAACTGTGCAGGTTGCTTACGTGAATGGGACGAAGGTGATGATCCAATGGAAGAGCATGCAAAATGGTTCCCTGAGTGAGTGACAGAGTATCTTAAGACAATTTCCTGCTGTGTGATGAACGTTGCCATATACTTTTGCTGTTCTTTTTTTAATACTACTTTAAATGTATATAAATAACTATATGTTTCTTGAGCGTATAGGATGTTGTGCCTCTGTGAAAACCCTTTTTAAAATTAATGTTTAAATGTAGAAATACAGTAAAAGTTTCCAAACAGAAGGAATGTTTGTGAAAAAGTTCCATCTTTCTGCCAAATGCAAGCAATTGAAGCAATGCATTGCACTAACTGTTGTGTCTTTTGAAAACTTCATTCTAGTTCCAACTGCTTGGAAGTACTTGGAAAGTCACTGGAAGAACAACCAGAGAGCCCATCAACATTACAGTCTGCACAGGTTTGCACCAGTCTGCAGTTTTTATGCTTTGCCATTTTAAATTATAGTTCCAGTTACGGGGAGTCTCTGCACATGTGTGTGCGCAGAATGAGCAGCATCGGCAGCTTGTTGCAGTTCTTCATCCTGGACAACCTTTTGAATGCAACGTATTTCGGAGGGTGCTGAATGAATAGGGGGTATGAGACCTGCACCGGTGTGGTGCAGGCAGCACCAGCTCCCCTCTGCCTCTGTAGGGGTGTTTACAGAGCCCTATAAACACCTTTAAAGGTGTGAGCCCTGTGCCTCAGGTACCTGCGGTGTTCAAACACGCACTCTTAAACAGCAGCTGTCTGCCTGCAGGCATCGACCCAACTCTCTACAGGGCAGCTACTGGCAATCAGCTTTTTGGTAATTAACAGCAATCATCCTTTGCTGGCAAATTGTAACGTGTGCAACAGCGCCCGGGCCCCTGGGCTGCTCTGTTGGCAGCAAAGTACCCCAGCCCGGGGTGCCAGGCACAGCCACGGGAGCCGCAGGGCTGTCGAGGGGCCAGCGCAGAGAGGCTGGTGGGAGGGGTAAAGCTGAGTCCCAGTTTGGCACTGGGGGAAGCTAGTGGAGAGGTCTTGTGCAGGATGTGTTATTGTGGGAGATCTCACAGCTCCTCTCTTGGGTCGGTTTGTTCAGGCACCTTGAGGATGTACACAACTGAGAAGTACAAAGCGATTATTTATTCGCTAACTCGTGCTAGAGAGAGCTGGGGTGTCACCAGCTCTGAGGCTGAGCATTAGCGTGCTCACCACCGCGCCCAGGCAAAGGGTCTCTGCTGGGCAGGCACTCGGTGGAGTCCTCCGGCCATCAGCCACGCTCCGGCCGTCAGCCACCCTGCCTCACCCTGCTCCCTCTGCCTGTGGCGGTACCTCCCCTGCATCTCTGCAGCCTGTCTCACCGCTTTCTCTCGGCGGTCTGTGTCAAGGTTATGCATGCGTCGATCAGAGCTGGGCCTCGTATCCTTGGTAGGCAGGCAGCAAAACCCTGGGATGGAAGAAGCTTACAGGGGAGAGAGAGGGAGATAACGATAGAGGGGCATTACATCCGATGTCCTGCTTCTGGGAGGAGTGAAAGAATTTTGCTAGTGTTGAAAAATACAGAGCTGGTACTGCATCTGTTGTAAATTGCCCTTGTAGCTGCTGGTGCTTGCTGGTACCTAAGCAACTCAGTTTGAACTAAATAATAAATATTTAAGGGAGTATAACTGGATTTATTGTTTTTCTAGCAAACTCCCTGTAAAGCAGATCTTGAAGAGAAAGCAACGCTACATCCTGTAGGAGCTGGTAAGTACTGTGCTGCCCCATATTTTAGTTTGAGAGGATTGTTAATGGTTTTCTGGATTTGCCCCTTACTTAGGGGGCATTGAAGTAAGGACTGAGTTAAGGTTTATGGATTGTCCATATATAGGGACAAAACAAACAAACAGTAGAGAATCTATCAGCTACTGCTTGCTTTTGTAATTATGAATATAAACCAATCCCTTAGCAGGCGAGAGTCACTTCTGTGCAGATGAGGCATATAAGCAAGCTAAATTATTCTGTCACAATATGGTATGATATTTTTCATTCATGTTTTGGAAAATTGCACACATGTGTCAGCTGTCTACTACATATTACATGTACACGCTTTTAGATACAAAAGAAACTAAGTTGGGATAACCTTCCACTATCTTCTGCTTCTCATGCTTCCTTTTTCCAAACACTATGGCCATTTCAAGGGAGTGGTTTTGTTGATACATGTGTGTGGATTTCTGAGGGAAGAGTTCATACACAATGAGTTTGCACTGAGTTGCTGCAGAAAAGTACTGATGTGCCAGCACAGAGTTGATAACTCAAAAGTAAATTTGCTATAGTGGTACTGCCCAGATGCTTTCTTTAGCAGCCCTCTGTTAATCCAAAAATGGCTATTACTGCCTCCCAGAAATGCCAAAATTATTTGGGATATATGTATCAGATGAGCTGTTTTGTAATTTTTGAAGGCACTGAAAGCACATTTTACAGCCCTGAAAGTGTCATGATACTGAAATGGTGGAGGGAGCAATAAAAGACATAGTTGCTGGTTTATTAATGAAGATGTTTGTTCATTCTTTGTATTCACCAACATGTACATCTCCATTTTACTGAAAGTGACTGGGGATGCTTCTGGTATGAAGTCCTAGTTCCCCAGGCTATGGCATAAATATACCCTACCTTGTCTCAAATTCTTCAGAAAAGGAGCTCTCTGGTGTCATCTCCTAGTGAAGTGCAGGAAGAGCCAGTGAGCATTTCTGGGGTTCATTGTACTTTTGCTGAATATGCAAAGAATAAAATGGTACTGCTTCATTTGATATAACAGATGACTGTGGGCTTTTTTGGCAATACATACACTGCATATCTGTATAATTACATCAATGTAAAAGTACATTTACCTTATTTCAGCTGTTTGGAAATACCAAAGTACAGCCTCCACACACCTATTTAGAGGCAGTTTATCTATTTTGTGGATAAACTGTACTATGGGCACAGACAACATAGCTGGCTCTATCCAGAATCGATGCTCTGTACCAGAACTTAGAAACCCTAGCAAATCAACAGCTTTAGAGAGCATGGTGCAGAGACTCAGCGGTTCTGTAGGAAGCTAATGTGGGTCCAGAAAGGATGTTTAAGTCAAGCTTAACACTACTTTGTCTGGATGGTGCCGACTGAATGTGTCTTTACCACTCTCTGAGCGTGCTTGCGAGGCTGGCAAGTGAGTTGTTTACCGACACAGTGCTGCATCTAAGCTCATTATTCTTTCCAGACCACGGAAGGCTTGGGATCATTGCACCGAGATACCAGCGTATCTCTGCACAGAGCTAGGTCAGGTCCAGCAAAGTTTTTTAGCTCAAGTTTATCACTTGATTACTCGCTACACACAAAGTAACCCCACATTAAACCAGATGGATGCAACGCCAGCTGAGTAGGACAAGGAGAAACTGTGGGAACTTGGTTTATCCAGAAGCAATACCAGTTTTTTCCATTATTTAGAAAATCTCAGGTTCTTATTACTCCAGTTTAATGGACAGCTGACTATATTTGACTTTTGTGTACAGAATCAACTGTTCACTACGTTTTAGGATTTAATGTCATCCTTTTTGCAGACACAACACTTGTTGAAAGTCAGTGTCTTGAAGAAGCAAAGAACTTGACTGAACAACTTGCAAAAGCTTACAACAATAAGAGCTTCAGCAAATTGTTTTCCTTTGGGAACTCAAACCACTTGGCTATTGACTTGAAATTACTCTATGGGGACCTGTCAGTTGTCTCAAAGGATATTAATGATCAGCCAATACAGCATCTCTTTCTTCATGAAATCCTTGCGAACCTTGACTCCACTATTGTGCTGGAAGGTGAAGCAGGAAGTGGAAAAACAGCATTGCTCAGGAAAATAGCTCTTCTTTGGGCCTCAGGCTGCTGCCCCATCCTGAGAAGGTTTAAGTTTGTATTTTATCTCTCCCTGACTAATGCACAATCAGATCAGAGCATGGCTGATATTATATGCAATCAACCAGTAGGATTTGTGGGACCATTAACAGAAACAACTCTAAGAGATGTAATTCAGCCACTGAAAAACCAGGTCTTATTTCTTTTGGATGACTATAGTGAGATGGATTCAGTGCCCCAAACTGTAGAAGAACTTATACAAAGGAACCATCTCTACCAGCACTGTTTGGTTGTTGCTGTCCGTACTAACAGGACGAGAGAAATTCGCAAGTATGCAACCACCACTTTAAGCATTGCAGAGTTCCCTCTGTCCAGCACTCTGTATGTACTAAAGAAATTGTTCTCCTACAATATTGTCCTTGTGGAGCAACTTCTGCGTCAGGTGGCATTTGAAAAGTCTATGGAGACCATTCTAAAGACACCACTTCTTATGGTGTCTCTCGCTGCGTATTGGGTACAGCACCCAAAGGGTAACATAATCAGTGATAAGGCTATTTTTAAAGCCTATCTGCTCTATCACTTACTAAAATACAGTGAAAACAGAGAACATGTACTGGCTATGTTTTCCTCATGTGGTGAGCTTGCCTTAACCGGTGTTTTCAAGCCATCCTTTGATTTCACTGAGCGTGATCTAGCTGAAGCGGGAGTTGATGGAGATGAAGCTGTTAGGCTGGGTTTACTGAGCAAATTTACTGCTCAAAGGCTTCATCCAATTTACAAATTCTTTCACCCCTTGTTCCAGGAGTTTCTTGCAGGGAGAAGACTGAGTGAGCTCCTGGTTTCTGATGAAAAAGAAAAATTGGAGCGAGGGCTGCAGTACTTGCAGCAAATCAACACATTTAGAAAAGTTGCTGGGCGCTATAATTTTTTATTGCATTACACTTGCAGCTTGTCTTCCAAAGCAGTCCCCCAAATTATATCCTATTTATTTAAACTGACTGACTGCAAGGGGTCATTGGAAAGCCAGTCAGAAAATGATGAACACCTGGAGCACCATTCAGACCTTCCAATGAGAATGTCATTAATTGATCACTTAAGTTTTTTTGATCCAAAACTGCTTCTTCCAGTTTTCATGCAGTATTTACTGAACTTTGCAACTTCTGTAGTTTATGAGACTAATACTGTCTCTGCGTGTGCCCCAATCATTTTTAATTTCCTAAGAGGCAAAGATATTTCGTTAAGTTCATTTTTCTCACCACAAAAATCTAAGTTGCGTTTTTTTCAGGATTACCCAGAATCGCTGTCTCTACCTAGTAGTTTTCAGGTTTCAGTACAAGGAAGTGAACACAAACAAGATCCTGATATACGTGAAATAGGTGCTTGCTATTCTTCACTGGAGATTCCAACAATCGACCGAGATTATGCTCCTGCATTTACACATTGTAATGACAGGGCACAAAAAATGGAAGAAGAATTAAAACAAATTAACACATTTCGTTCGCTGATACAAAGACATCTACCAGACTCCATTGTGCGTCCTTTCCTATTTACAACAGGGAAGATGCGGCTTTTAAAATGTACATTCAGCAACATCAGTTCTTTTCAGGAAGCTGACCTCAGAAATTTGACAACACTGTTTTCCATTTCGGATTATATTGAACTTCAGCTGAATAACAGTCCTGGATTCATAGAAGTTATCCGACCCGCTATTGAAGAGTACAAGGAACATTTTAAAAAATGTAGTCTACATCATCTTAACTTGAGCAAAACAGAGCAAGAATTACTTCTCTCGATGTCTTTTGTGGAATGTCTTGAGATAGAAGAAAAAGAAGTGCCAGGTACAGCATACTGAATTTTGGCAGGATGTAATTTTTCTCTCATTTTCTTCCCCTCCCCTTGGTGCCTGACAACTGAACAGCTCCATATCCGTAAATAATAAAGCTGCCTTTCTACCATATGCATTTCAGGGGATAGGCAGCCATTCTACATTAACAGATTTCCATCCTGGCCCCTGATTTCAGACCACAACCTCGATACTGATTTTTGATCTAAGAGGTGTATGTCACTACAGAGGCAGAAGTGCACTTCGGGAGAGGATAGTGCAGTACGGAGGACACACTAGCAGGCACCAACAGATGTGCGTTTTCTGCTTGGGGCAATCTGAGTGGGTCTGCACCGGGCTTTCAAAATAGAAGCATATGGGCCAGTGCAGGTGAATTCATGGGATCCTGCCAGGCATATGTTCAGGCTGCAAGCAGCAGAAGCCTCAGCAGAGGATGGGTTGGCAGGGAAGGGCAGTGGTACAAGGAGGACAGGAAGCAGCAGTCAAGAGAAGGGGGGAGCCAAAGATGTAAGGATGTGAGATAACGAAGTTCAGCTACAAAAACCTTGGCAAATTTTCAGAAGAAAAGAGGGGAGGGATTAAACAGATCAACCCAGTTTCATTGTACATTTGTCTGGCTTCATCACAGAACTACTTTTTTCAAATTTGGACAAATTCATCTGCCTGGAGGAATTGTCAGTGAGGCAATGTGAGAACTGCGATGTATTTGATACAATACCTGATGGCTTCAAAAATCTCTGTAAGATGAAGAAATTGTTGGTGAGCAGAAACAAGCTTGAAAACAGCTCTAGACTGGGTAAGGTGCACTTTAAAACTTTAGGTACTGTATTCCACTATGATTTGTTAATACTGAGTAGCAATTTTAATTTCTTCTTTAACAGGCATGTAGCATCTCTCTTCCCATTGCTTCTGCCCCACAGCTTCTACTCTTGAGTTTATGACTGCAACAAAAAAGAGTAGCTCAACCTTTCAGTGCTGTAACTTTGTTGACCTCCGTAAGTTAGTACAGAGGAATGATCAGGACTGTGCTCTGTTTTCCTGGAGTGAGTGTTTTCCCTTCTCACTGCTCACAGTCCCCTGGGAGGAAGAAGAGAGGGAGCACAGTTGGCAACTGAGTCCAGATCATGTGCACAGCTGTTCTGACAGGCTGATGAGTGGATCATGACTTCTGTTTCAGCTGCCTTATTCCAGGAAGAAGCTTACTTTTCAGTCCAGCAACCCTAGATTAACCATTTTTTTTTTTTTTTGTACACTATGATAACAATTACCCAGCTGTACTTCAATATAAACATGCAGTACAAACAACATTCAGTGAACTGTACCCTCAATATCTGGCCATGGGATAGGGTTTTACAACATACCTAAAACTAGTAACTCTAGGGGGAAGGCATCTAAAGAGTTCCAGTCCCACTAAATGTTGAAAAACTAGACTATTTTTCACATGAAAGAAACCAGAAATGAATCTACAGCAAAACTTGCTTGCAGTAAAGTTCGCAGGTGGAGCTAGGAGAACCTTCTGGATTTTTGACCTTTGCTCACTATACAATGCATCTTCAGTGTTGTAACACTTTGTTTTGTAGTTGAATTTATTAAAAGCTTCCAAGACCTCTCTGTTTTTCACCTGCACTGCTCCAGCTGCTTCAATTCTGCATCCCTTCTGGAAGCAATTTCTTCATGCAAGAAATTAACAGAAATCAAGTTAACTGGGTTGTTTTTGAGAGATCAACATTTGCTTTTGCTAGGTAGGAACTTTTTTCAATACAGAAAACTCACTTTTTAAAACTTAATAGTTGAAACTGCTAATTTTCAGTTGCAAGAATGACAATGTATACTTTTTTTTTCTTTCCTCCTAGCTGCTGCTCTGCCCAATTTTGTCTCTCTCAAAGTGTTGAATCTTGAAAACCAGGCTTTTGATGACAAGGAAGCTTGTGAAATCTTTGGTTTGTACATATCTTTCATTTCAGCTGATCTCACTTGTTGCATTTCACAGAGTTATCTTGCTTCAGGTTCTTCTGGAGATCTTAAGAAATAACTTGAACAGCTTAAATGCCATTTGAGATACTGGAGAGTATCTAGAACTAGAATGTTAAATCAGGTCTCACAAAGCAGTTTGTGATGAAGGGCATGTGTTCACGTCCTTCTGAGAGGGATGAGCCAAGTGAGATGGATGGTTGTCCTAAACTGTGGAATCAGAGGTGTTCATCACCTCTGAAAGCCAAGATGGTCCTCCTGCAAAAATCACGTCTATAGGGAACAGAGAAAGGTTGAAATGGCTTGCATTTTGGGAAGGGAGGATTACCCTCATTTCTTTTTCATTCCTGTGGGTCCCTTGCATTTGGCAACATTGAAGATTCCTTTTACCTCTAGAGGACTCATGAGACCTCTTAGACCCTTTCTGGAGAAGTAGTTCTGCCTTTTCTGCTGATGTCCTTTTCAAACTATTGAGCTACAGAGTGAAGTGACCTTTGCAACAATGGCAGCGGCGAACCTGAGGAAAGAAAGCTGATAGTAACCTATTTCCCAGAATCTAAATTTAATTTTTTTTTTTTAACCTGGCTCTGCTGCTGTCACTCATTGACATTACAAGAATTAGGTAATGCATACTTATTTAATCTTAACAGGAAATGTCATCTTCTCTCTGCAGCATACAGTTTAGGTGGTGTTCTTAACCTGGAGGAGCTCATCCTTCCTGCAGGGAAGGGAATAAAGTCTGCAGCCAAACTGATTGTTCAGCAGTGCCTACACCTGCTGCACCTCAGATACTTCTCATTTAGCCTATGTCTGGATGATGACAGCCTATTAGAGATAGGTAAGTTTTTAAAGGAGGAACTTCAAACATGAAATAACATTTCTGAGTAGAGAAGATACTGCTTCAGGATAAATTAATCTTCTCTTTGAATACATTACAACAATTTCAAATTACTTGTCATTTTTAATGGGTATAATTTCTTCCTGTTTGTTCTATACACAGTCCAAAGCATTTCTTGCTCGTCAAAGTGTATCCAGACTGCTTACACACTAGACTTTGCTGAAACCGCTTTTGAAATGCCTCCTTTGTCCCCCTTGTCTTCTACAAAGCAATGTAAATTACAAGAAAAATAATCAGTGGGAAAAAAGACTGACTTAAAATAGAAATTCATAACTTAATTCCTAGTTATATTAGCTGACATGCCCTAGCTGTTAAAACTGTGGTGTTTATATATATATATAGTATGTATATTAAAAAAAAACCCCAAAATATGTCTTGAATTTAATACTTATTTAGTATAATCTTAAAACCACCATCTCGTATATAGGCTAGGGAAAATATCTTCTTTTGTAAGCAAATGCTAAGTCTGTCATATCAACTTCCTTTATTTTTGACACACATTTTAGTATATATAGTGACTTGATGATGAGTCCCATCTTGTAAGTAGGCTGACTGTAAGGCAAGACTGAAGAACATATGTGATGGTACACAGGCATGGAAGAGATTGTTAAACTCAGTATCTCGCATCTGTGCAAAGCTGATACGGTGTCTCACCTCAAGTGGTTGCATAAGCCAGTGCTGTATATTTACTTTGCTCTGCAAGAGTGGTATCTGAACACTTGTAAACATACTGGTATCTTATTCTACTAGGTATTAATGTGCCTGCTGAAGTATCCTCTATTTTATCAGTCAAGTGATATGCTTCAATGAGTTGAGTTCAAAGTTCTACTTTTTTCAACCTAATAGCAACAACTTTGTTTTATTTTCAATGTACAATACCTCAGTGTCACTGCATGTTTCATGTGGGTTTAGAGCATCTTTAAATCCTTACTGATGTCTGTTTATTTTTGCAGCTAAGGTTGCAAACTGTGGAGCTTTCCAGAAGCTTGAAATGCTCTCACTGTCAGGAAATCATAACATTACAGAAACTGCTTGGAGAAACTTCTTTAGAACACTTGATAACATGCCTGCTTTAAAAGAGCTGAACATTAACCGTATGTTCACACATCAGATCAAAGCCAGTGCATCAACAGTGACAGCATTTGTCCAGTGTGTTTCTCGACTGCCTGGTCTTGTGACAATAGCAATGCTGGGCTGGCTCCTTGATGCAGAGGACCTTAAAATGTTTGATATCATGAAGGAGCAACATCCCCAGTCTAGGAGTTTAAAATTATTTTGGCAATGGCTCTTGCCATTTTCACCAATTCTTCAAGACTAGAAAAGTTTGAAAGTGTTAGGGCTTGGGGTTTTTTTTTTTCTTCCTTCTTGTATTATGCATTACACACCTGCATTGCAAACAAACATATATTGTAAAATTTTTACCAGGATGAAACAAGGCACTCTTCTACAGCAAGGTTAGGTTAATGTAAAAGGATCAAGGAACAGAAGACAGGATTAATGTAACTCCGAAAACCTGACTTGCTTTGCAAACATGGTTAAAGATTGTACCTAAGTGATATCCTCCAAAGAAAAACGTAAAATTTTGCTTAAAGCCTATTTAAAATAAATTATTTCAATTCAGTTCTTTTGCTTGCAATGAAATCAATTACATTAATCACTTATGAAATAAAAACAATAGACCCCTTTATGGTCAGGACTGCACTAAAAGTAATATGGGATGCTAGATTTTACTAGTGTTAAAACCTGATAAAGGCCACTTTTGTAATGTAATACCAGATACTAACACAGGACTACCTGACAGCAGTTGTGCCTCTTTAGCAATGAACAGTTGCTGAACAGCTGATTTAGAAGCTTTGCATCACTGCAAGCAATCTTAATTTACTTCAGCTAGACAATTAAGAAAAAGCCTTCAAAGTCGTTTAGGGAAGTTGAGATTCTGTCTTTCTCTTTTTGCTCAATTATTTGTGGGAAAACTGATTTTCTGATGCTCGCTCACAGATAAAGGAACTGAACGCAGCAAAGTTCAGGTCTGTATTTGGCTAGTTTCCCCGAAAAGCAAGCCACTGGCATTAACTAAATCAGTTGAGTTTTACGGCTGCAGCCTCTATTGTACAAGAGTTAAGACTGTAAGGGCCGAAATCTAAGTCCATTCTGACCATAACCTTTCCACAGTCTGCTGCTTCTCATTTGCTTTTAGTAATGGTACTCAGAAAAAGGCCACACAGCAAAACTTTCTGGTGTATTTTAGCCATTCATCCAAGAGACAGATGCCTACAGAAGCTAAAAATAAAAAACACCCCAAAACAAACCACACCCCTAAATTGGAAGGTTGAGAAGTAGAAGTTTATTAACAAGCATCTGAAACAAAAATGCAGCTGTCAGATTGAGGATTCTAATCAGACCCATAAGATACCTCTTTTAATATCACGGTATACCCTTTTCCAGGCCATTGCCACCAGTGGCCACTGTAACATACACTGCTGCCATAACTGTCTCTTAAAAGAATATACTGTAATTGCTAGTCCTTGTGTTGTCACTCAGATAAGACGACTGAGGAATACAAGAGGTGTTAAAATGAGAAATAAATGAAATCTATCATGTGGGGTTGAAAGACTTAAATCTATCATGTGGTAAAAAGACTTCAAATTGTTTCAGTGAAGTAAAAAATATTTTATTGCTGCAGTGCTTTCTAAATACATTGGACTAGAGGTCTTTAAAAAATCACTCACTTCAATGTACATATAATTACTAGTCTCAAGTTACTTGTTATCAGGGGCAGTTCAATGTTAAGAAAATGTTAATATTAACTGTCTTGATAAAATACTGATCTTCACCATCAACCATCAGTGCATAGCGATATACACCTCTCAGTGGGAAAGATTTGTACCTGGCTTTAAAAAAGAAGCAAAAATTAGTATACAAGAGCTTTTTGGTTTTAAACAAACAAACAAGAATTACTCAGCTGCACAGAAATTACATATCATCACAGAAAATCAGAAAAACAAGTCCCCAAGAGAATATAGTTTTGTCCTATAAGGAACTGAACAATACACTGCAGAATTCTAAACAAAGGATTTAAAATAAAAGCACAGGCACTGAAGCAATGAGAACAGAATTGCTCAACAATATCAAACTGAAATGTTGATCTTGTCCTGAAAACAAAGTTTAGCTATACATCCTGATATCCAGTCTGTCTAAAGAAGCAGTTACTTCTGAAGACGTGTACATACATGCAAAAACTGCATTTCACATAACAACCTTTCATTTTCGAAACAGCCCCTAAACAAATAAGAAAACTCTTAATAATTCAAGTAAGCTGCGCTGTTAATCCTGATGTAGAGCGATGCTGTAGTTAAACCTCTCATCAGAGCAACAGAATACTTTTCTTCATTCTAGTCAAGAAAATACTATATTCCACAGCTGCTAAGCAATGAAGGGATTAATACTGGCAGAAGTGGTCTTTGTAGAAAGCTATAAGAGTGGATCGAAGTCCCGAAGCTCAGTTTTTGCACAGAATTCAAAACTTGTTGAGAGCTTGTAAAATGAACTGTCGTTTCAAACAAATTCGTCAAGCGACACTGTATCTTCATTTAGCACAAAATTATGATACTTACAATCCTTCAAAACAATGATGGATATTCAGTTATTTTGCATGTGTTTCTCTCTCCAGTGCTGCTTCCATTCGACTTTGTTTTAAACCCTACAGGATACAATTTAGTAAAATCTTGTTTTTACTAACATGGAAATAAAAGCTTTAGTTGCAGAACAAAAACATTTTTGGACAATTTTTTTTCAGTCCTTCACAAATCAGCAATAGCTTTTAACTCTTTGGGGAAATCAGAATGGGCGGTTTAAACAGGACAAAAGCCAAACTACATGTCTTCTTTATAATCAGTGGCTTTACAGAATAATCTTAAATATATATTTCTTGTTCAATTAAAAGTAAATGAAAGCAATCCACAATTATATGTAATGTGAAGAGAGAATTTCCAAAACTAGTCTTCTGAAGATACCCTATGGCACCAAATCCCCCCTTTCCAGCTTCCCCAATGCAAGAGTTTAATCCCTCCTGTAATTTTCTTTCTTCCTAAGCGTACAAAGGAAAACAGAAATCAATATTCCATGTCACAGATTTTTCACAACTATGACGACAGCTCCTGCTGGACCTTCACAATCACCTGAAACAATTACTGATGAATAGTCTCTGTAGAAATGCCAGATCTGATCCTAAGTGTGATACTACCACTCATGCTCAAAGAAAATACACAGAAGACTACTAAATAATAAAAATATTCAGATTTACCCCACCTGTCCTCAAAGACAGAACTGGTTGTTTCACACTGGCTATAAAACACCGGCTATAAAAGTACCTAATGGGACCCCTCCGGTGGAACAAAGAACTAAAACAACATGGACTATACTGGCTCACGTGACTCCTACTCAAGGACAAGAATATTTATACAATACAAAATAGCCTTGAATTTAGCTATTGTAAATTAGAATGACAGATCTAAAAGGCAGTCCTTCCTGTCTAACGTCTTGCTGAAAACAGCAGCAGCAACACAAAAGCAAAATTACAAAGACATTTTCAGACAAAAATGGCACGTACCAGGTAATACCCAGTGTGATAACCACTCATGTACCAGGCTATTAACATGCTCCCCAACGCTTCATCGTCCTCAGCAGAGTCTGGCCTCATAGGTGGTGGAGGAGGAATCAACTACGAAATCACAAAGGAAATGTCTGTGTTTCAATAGGGCATATCCCAGGTTACATAGCAACCAATTCTAAAAGATCAAAATATAAAACTGAAAAATCCAAAAATATTCTCAACGCATTCTCTGAAAAGGAGTCAAAAAAGATGGCATTTCTGAAAACATGTAATTTCCAAAGCCTAGGAGAAATAGGATTCCTGTAGCTTGACTGTACACAAAGAGTTTTATTAAGGGAAAACATTTATCCACAACAGTAAAATGCTGTTAATCGAATGCACGGTGCAGTTTCTTCAAATAATTTTTCTCTTGATATGCTTTCCAACAGCTTCACTGTCATAAAAATGAGTGCAGATCAGACCTTGTGCATTAGATTCTTGTAACATCTGTAACTGAAAGCATTATCAAATACCTGGAAAACACAGACTCTAACACAGAAACATGTTCTAAAAACGCAGGCGGCGAGCACATTGAGTTAGAAAACTTGAGATCAGCAATACTCATCTCTGACACTCTCTTTCTCATTTTCCTATCACTTACCGGTGGTCCTGCCGGGAAGGGTGGGGGCCAGCAAGATAAAAATGATGGAGGTGCCCTGAATTTTGATCCAGGCTACAGTGAAAACATGGAATAGTACAAATTAAAAAGAACTTTCAGGCATTAGGATTTTATTTAAGAGAATTATTTGAAGCAATTCACAAACCTTACACTAAAGACAACACATCCCAGCAATTTAACCAAACTGCAAAAACAACACACAGTAGCTATTTCTGTGGAGCACTCCATGACTGGAAAAGTAAAGCTTGTATTACACATGCCACTGAGGTGAACAGTGCTGAAACAGGGTTCTAGTTAAAACAAGCATTTAAAAAAGTTTTTTCTAAATAGAAATCAGTGGTTGCGCCCTCACATGAAGAAACACATCTAATATTACCCACAGGCAAACAGATAATTTCTCTGCTCCTGTGTGGCTGGGGGCACATGCTGACTAAATTCCATTACGCTTGTGAATGTCTTTAAAGTAAGTTTAGATACGAGTCTATTGATATGAAGGAAAAAAAGATAAAAGAAAACGTTACAAAGAAATCTTGCCCGAACAGTAATATTTAGAAAACATAATGCTGCATTCACCTGAGCTATTATTTAGACTCCTTCACAACAGGAAAACTGAAGAGTATATCAATACCCCAGCCCTTATAATTCAATAGAGAAGCTACAGCTGAGAGCTTCTATGACATCTAGACACGACTTTTGCTGCCTTCACTGTCCTGTGTAGTGAAACATATCAATTGGCTAGAAAAAGCGCAATATTAAAACATCAGCAGTGCTATCATTAACAGCACTATCACAGTCCAGGGAACAACATCCCTCTTTTAAGTTACAGGGAATTGCAAAGCAAGTGTTAGCTAGGGAGAAGGCTTTCCTCACCAGGCAGCAGCACTGCGAAAGGGCTACATTGTGGCCCGATTGTTGTAAAATGACATACCAACAGGTTCTAACGTGTATCTGTATATCCATTCTCAAAATGCTGTTATTTGGTTTCTAGACAATGATAAATATCATCTTATTGTCTCAGAATTTATAATACCAGGCTTAACAGTGATAT